GGCCGCCAGCAGTTACACAAAAGAACAATCGCCGAACCCCGCATGCAACCCAGAACCCAAGCCCGAAAATGTATAGGGTTTAGGGTTTAGGGTTTCGGGTTTAGGGTTTCGGGTTTAGGGTTTAGGGTTTAGGGTTTAGGGTTTAGGGTTTAGGGTTTGGGTTTAAGGTTGGCAGATGGGCCCCCCGACTCCTCGTTGATCGCCCCACTGGGCGCGGGATGCACCTCGGAGCTTAAGCAGTTTGAGGTTTAGGGTTTAGGGTTTAGGGTTTAAGGTTTAGGGTCTAGGGTCTAGGGTCTAGGGTTTAGGGTTTAGTAACATCTATAGTCCCCTTAGAACCTTGACAAAAAGAAACAAGTACATTATTAAAATGCCCTTGGGCTTTATATGAACCAAAAGGCAATTTAATTCCTAAGAGGGCTACAAGCAACCCTGAACCTATAAACGGCTCAAAGGTTTCAGGGTGAAACGATTTCCGTTTTCTACCTATGCTCACTCCCCAACCTACAGCACCTGCATTTGGTGATCTCGACCCTCTGTGCCGGAACTGTCCACGGGAGGCATGGAGCGTCCCAGCACCCAAAGGCTCGTTTCACCCCTTCCCCCACGAACGGGCTTAGACCCCCAGAGCCATTCCACTCCGAGCGGCTCGGGGAGTGATCCCACAGCCCTGCCGCAGCTCTCGACTCCTAGCAGGAGCTTGGGCAAATGCGGACCCTAAACCCGAATCCCTAATCACTAAGAGGGCCAGGCATCGGGAAATGCGGGGCACTTTGTGTGAGTTCTTTGTGCGCGCAAGACTCGAGAGGATCTGAGGACCGATGATCATGAAGGATGCCGCCCAGCAAGGCGTTGTAAGCTTTAAACCCTAACCTACACAGAAACCCTAACCCTAAACCCTAAACTCTAAACCCTAAACCCTAACCCAGGAAGGAGCAGTGCCCAGACACCAAAGCAGTGAGGGGAAACTCGACTGTGGGAGGGCGGGGAGGAGGGGGGGGGGGCTTCTACCAAGACTAATTACCTACATGGCATCGTGACTGTCCTCCTGCTGATGTGCAAAGATCTTAAAGTCGCCCAATCGGGTCATGAGCAAGATGCCAATCGGCTTGTTCAACTACGTCCGAAACTAGGGTAGGTTTGGGGCCCCCGTAAAATCAAATTCTTATGGCTTTAGAAGCATTTTATCGGGATGAGGAGGTAGGATGATCAACCCCTGCGAACCGTACCACGCCAGACAACACACTACACTGCCGATCCAAAGAACCTGCTGTTTCTCTGTGGTCATCACAACAACAATTCTTCCTCCTTCTGATGGCATTTCGCCTTCCCAGCATGTTCATTAAGCTACTCAATCTCTTACCGTCTTCAGGCCCTCTGGCGATCAAAGCAAAACTCTTGCTCAGTGCAATCCCTCAAACCAGACTCAACCAGACTCCCCGCAACCACACTACAGACTGTAGACTGTAAACCCCGAAAGCGTCCCTCCACCCACAGCCTGAGGCTTTCTGCCTGGGACCAGGGTTTTCCGGTCCACTGCCAGGCGGGAGTCTCTCCTGCTCGACGCAATTCTGTTAAAGGCAAAGGGTGCAGCGGAAAACGTCGAACATGTCTTTTTCCTGAGTTTCTAACGGGTATATTGGGCTTGTGGCTTGGGGTCTTGAACTGTTTGGACCCCAAACCAAAACCCAGAGACACCTGACACCTGAATGTCCAAGCCCCACAAAGGAAGGCCCAGGCCGAAGGCCTGAAGGCTTCAAGCTTTGTGCCCTCGGAAACTAAGAAACGAAAGCGACCGAACAAAGGGTTGCCATGATCCTCCCTCTTATTCGCTTGCAGTGTAGAGTCGATAACTTACAGGGTTCGAGGGAAGGTGTGAAGCAATGATGCACTTGAAGCCTGATCCCCGAAGTGTGCGAGTGGGATTCGGGGTGTCTGGGGTTGAAGGCAGAGACTGACGAACTGAACACTTGGACAGTTGTGTGCGCAGCGCCCTGCTTCCAAGGTTCGAGGCTTCGTGCGGGTTGGCGACTTCTAGTTAGGGGGTACCTGATTGGGGTCCTTAATCTAAGGGGATCCGAGTATTTGGGGATCTATATTAGGGGCCCCCTATATTCGTAAACCCCCCAAAACCGTCTGAAGCAGTGACAAGGCTGTCCTGCCAGCGACCGCGAGTCGCCGAGTCGCTGGTATTCTGTCCTCTAAACCCTAAACCCTAAACCCCAAACCCTAAACCCTAAACCCTAAACCCCAAACCCTAAACCCTAAACCCTAAACCCTAAACCCTAAACCCTAATCCTAAACCCTAAACCCCTTGGCATTTGAGGGCTTCGAGAGCTCTGGGCCTCGGTTTCTTGGGGGTGTCTATCCTTATGGCTGGGGTTGCTGGTCTCTTGTGACCCGGGTCTTTTTGAGGTCGGGTTTGCGGACTACTGTTGAGGGCTTCACATTTTGGGGGAGGGGGGGGGGGGGGTGCCCCCCTGGTGTCCTAAACTCTTTACCAGGGTGCACCCTCTGGGTCACAAGCTCGTCGTTTCCCCAGTCATGGCACGCAAAGTGGTTCACCCCCATCCCTAGCCGATGGCTGCCCCCATCCCTAGCCGATGGCTGCAGGCCCATGGCCAAAACTATAAGACCTGCCTTCTCGTAGACAAGACTTGGAGGTTCATGGACAGTCTCGCTGTCATTACTGAGAGCACGAGCAACACTACAAACAGACCCACAATATCCCAAGTGCCCGAACCCAAGCAAGCCCTAAGCCCTAAATCCTAAGCCCTAAAGCCTTAACCCCTATGGACAGATGCATCTTGGCCCCGGACCGCGTCGAGTGCAAGGCCCGGTCATTAAAATGATCGCCCATCGTCCTGGCTTTGCTAGAGGCGAAGGGGGTCTGATAGTATACATATATAATCACAACATAAATTTAGCAAGTCTTAAACCACGAAATACACATAATTATATAGTCAGATAAAAAAATATAATAAAATACAAAAAATAAGTATATAATATATAGCATATAATACTGAGAGTATAGCACATGCAATAATATACTGTGTATATGTATATACATACATGCATGCATGCATACATATATGTATACATATAGAGAGAGAGAGTATTCTGTAAACATTGTAATATGTATAGTATATAATATCTATTTGATGAATTTACAGATATGTATGTATGTATGTATGTATGTATGTATGTATGTATGTATGTATATGCATATTATACATGAAACATTATACATATATACATATACATATGTGTATATATATATATATGTGTGTGTGTGTGTAAAAAAACACAGGAAAAAACATATCATGATAACGGGATCTGTTCGCTCCGTGTCGGTTCGCCTTTCGCAGGCGTCCGCAACCATGGCCCGTGCGGAATCCTGGTTTTGCGTCGTTCGGGCATCAAGTCGTGTTAACGTTGCCAGCATGTCGGGGTCACTGTCCTCGTAACTGTCGTCACGTTTAGATCCTCAATGATGCTCACTTCGCTTGTCAGCTGTCAGCTACAGGGACGGTGCAAGTCGGAACGCGATCCTCGTGACTGTGTTCCTTTTGGATCCTCCCAATCGTCTTTTCACTTGTATACCAAGATGCGGCCCGTTCTCGGGACAATTGACCACTTATCTTAGCACGCAAAGAGAATCCGAAGACACGAGGACGCAACACAACACAACACGAAAATCCGACGGGAGACACGAGGGTACGCCCCCAAGATATGACGGCCGACATTGCACGATGACGCGGCCCAAAAACGCTGAATCCTGCCTGCGGGCCCTGATTCGCAAAGTTGCCGTGCTGTTAAGCAGCCAGCGCCCGTGAACGGTAACTTGCACCAGGGCCGGCACCCGAACAAACCGATGGGCCACCTTGGCGCCCTGAATACCCTATACACATTGGATAACTTAAACGTGCTTTAGCTGCATCTTCTGCGGGAAACTAACGAAGGGAGTGTGGATCTCAGCTCTTATGGACCTTTGGCATGAGGGTTGAGGGAGTTGTTCGGTGCTTAGGGCTTCCTAATTTATGCGTTTGGGGTCTAGACACTCAGTTAGCGGTAACTCTTCTTTTGGTAAATTCCCCCTTGATTCCAGGGCCCATCTTCCGATTGCAAAGGTGCTGTCTCTTTACACAACCCCACCACATGCTCAAAAAAAAACCCTCTCGACCCTCTAAACCCTAATTTATCTGGGTCCATTGCCTATGGCCTGTTGAACCGCTGCTGCATTTTTGCGGGTGTTCAAGCCCCGCGAGTCCTTCTCAGAAGACTCGCGAACCAGCTGAGCTCCGGGTGTTCCGGCGGCACAGGGGGTTGCTTACAACAGGCCTGGAAATATGTCGGGGTGTAAGCTTTCTAGTTTTGGAGAGGGGCTTTGAGGTGGGGGGGTTCAAAGAGCAGACTCTCTGAATAGGGATACTTTGTGTGAATCTCAACAACCCTGGCTCCTCAACATACACAGGGGTCTATGTCGCAGAGCCCCTAAACCCTAAACCCGAAACCCCATAGACCCTAAGCCTACCCAGGGATGGACGGCAAGACACGGCGCCGCGAGCACTCTCAGAGCCGAAACAGCCAAGACTTTGCTTTAGGGTTTAGGGTTTGGGGTTTAGGGCTAGGGTTTAGGGTTGAGGGGTTTAGGAGTCAAGGCTTGCATTTTTTGGGCTTCAGGGCTTGGGGGTTTCAGGGAGGGCAGGAAGGTGTTGGAGGGTTCTGTCAACCAAAGCACTGTGTAGGAGGCTGCTTTACGATTTGGAGTCTCAAGTGGCCTCGAGGCTTTCAGGATCCCAGGAAGGCCTCAGAACCCACACCCACAAAGAAAAAAACCTCAAACCATGCAAGAAATGCTCCCTGTAACAATACAGAGTCAGCTCTACATCTCATCCCTACAATCACCCTTTACTAAGGCTTAAAGAATCCAGCCTGCAAGCTTGTGGGCACATTGCACCAACGGCGAATCTTTCTGGAAGCAAATATACAGCTCCCCA